AACTGTCTTAAATGTATTCCAGTGAGGCCACTTCTCCCAGCTAAAGTGCTCTTCTCTCTTACTATTTCCTACACTTTGGAGGGGAGGTGTTAGCCAGGGCATTATTTGAGATGTTTTGTAAACTTCCAAATTGGAGTGGGGGACATATAGATTATTTAAACTTCATATTGATTTAGAAACTTGGAAAGTTCTTTTATTTCGCTTGTCACCAATATTTTCATTTATAATTGTACCATCCAAAGAGTAAAATAGTCCTTAATTTGATGTTGCTGATTACTTAAATTGAAGTCATTAGAATGTCATCTCAGTACTTTAATTGAATATTCGAGTATATGATTCACTATACTTTAAAAATTAACATTGAACTCATGTTATTGATTTTTGAAAATAGCATTCCAACTAGTTTATTTGATTATTGGCAGAAAGCTCATTTGTAGTCTAATTGGACTATTAGTGAGTCTCTTACACAGGTACTGAAAGAACATAAACCACCATTAAAATTAAAAGTTACTGTATCTGATCAATATAACTGACCTGTCACTGGGCAATGGAAGGAAGTGAGACTGCTTCATTATGAAGACATTCACTTTTATTAGCTGGCACAGGGAAGATGACTGCTTAGTAAATATTTATTAATGGAAGGACATATGGATTCACTTGCCATCTACTGCTGGTGACTCCTAAGTCAACGTTTGTGTTTAGAGCACTGAGTTCTGACCCAGGATTCTGGCTGCTTCCTGCCCATGAAGGAGCCACAGATACCCTTAAGTGCCTGGTGCCTGAAACTGAACCACTGTCGCCTTCTGAATCTAGTCCTCCTCTGTCTCCTCCACTTGGTTTTCACAGCCAGATGCCACCCAGTCACCTTAGATTCTTTCCTCCCCCTCACCTCCTAGATCCGAGTACTCATCAAGTCTTTAGTGCCTTCCTGCTTGCTCCCCCCTCAAACCCATCCACTTCTGTCCATCTCAGCCACTACCTCTTCAGGTCCTCACTGGATCCCCTGGGATTTTAGCCCTTCTTTAGATGTGTTTCCCTGCCTGGACCAGCGGTTCTCAAATTTTACCATGCTATAGCATTTCCCAGGGAGCTGGTTAAAACTGGGAAATGCCCAGATCACACCTCCATCAGTTTCTCATTTGATTAGACTTGAGAGAAGGATCAGGAATCTGCATGGAAAGCGGACATCTAGGTGATTCTAACACAGGTGGAAACAGACATCTAGTTTCACATGCCTCCTGTCCACCCTGAGCATGTGAGTAAAAATTCACTTTAAAATAAAAGATTTATCCCACCCCGGATTAGAAATCTTCAAAGAACTATCATCCTATAGCAGTAATTTTCAGACTATGGTCAGTGGAGTTGCCAAGGGTTCCTTAGAGGTATCTCAATATACATGCGTGTATGGGCGCAGCATTTGGAGTTGGAAGATGGAGGGAATTTTGCCCTGCAGGGCTTTATCCATACCCCCTTCCCCAGCTCTTTCTTTAGTCAGAGAAACCTGGCTTTTGAGTATAATGAGAGAGCTCCTTTGGGAAAAGTATTCCTCTACTTAAAACAAACAAACAGACAAAAAGTTTGTGATCTATAGAAGTAGATTTAAAACTTTTCTTTAAAAAAAGAAAAAAAAAGACTCATAGTAAGAAATAGTGTACATTCTGAATCACAGACTAACACACACATTTGTGTGTGTGATGGAAACAGATTTCTTGAAGTAAACTTACAGCACCCTGATGTTTTCTGTTCTGTATTGTTTCTTAAAAAAAAACTGCTGGTTGCAATCCACTGAATGGATTTCACAATGCATCAACTTGCTACTGAGTCTGAAAGACCTTTGATCTAACCTTTTTCATTTGGATTTGCTTATGAATCATGGAACACAAATATTGTCCTAATCCTATCAAGGATAGTATATAAATCATACCACCTAGAAGCTTGGGAAAGAAGTTAATTCTTTACGTACAGTGGATGCCTGAAGGCATTTAGGCTTCGTTCCCTGGATCAACTCCTTTTTGAAAAAGGCTCTTGGTGTCTGATCTATACAATAAATCTTAATTTTTGCATCTTGCTCACAGCGTTCTGAATTTGGCCTATGTTGACCTCTCAGACTTCATCTTACTTCCTCAATCACATACCTGGGTTAAAACCATCCTGAACTATTTGGAATTCCCCATATGCCTCATGCTGTTTCTCACCTCTGTGGTCTTTTTTTTTTTTTTTTTTGGTACTGGGGATTGTACTCAGGGGCACTCAACCACTGAGCCACATCCCCAGCTCTGCTTTGTATTTTTTTATTTAGAGACAGGGTCTCATTGAGTTGCTTGGCACCTCACTTTTTCTGAGGCTGGCTTTGAACTTGTGATCCTCCTGTCTCAGCCTTTCAAGCCACTGGGATTACAGGTGTGCACAATGGCTCCCAGCTCAAAAAACATTACTTTTTAATTTAATTTTTCTTTCACTTTTCAAGAGAATTTGTTTGTTTATTGATATATTTATTTATTTTTGCTATACTAAGGTTGAACTCCAGCATTCTAGCTAAGTGCTACACTAAGCTACATCCCTAGTCCAGAAGTTTATTTTTAGCTTTTTTTTTCCCCTAGAATTTGCTGAGAATTAGTAGGAGAGTAAATGACCTGTATCTTCCAGGATTACTCCCTCTCTCTCACATACACACTCCCCTCCTCTTTTGAGAATTAGGACAATTGCTCATTTGTGTATATCTGACATCCTCTAAGAATTCTCCAAGATTACAGATCCCCAGAACCAAAACCATTCCTGACATTTTGTCTTTGAAAGATTTTGGGGTGAAGGCTCATATCTAAAAACTGACATATGGAAGAAAGCTCTAAAGAATGAACTGTTAGGTTAACTGTGCCTACCTCCAGAGATGAATTTGAGCTGAAACCTTGGCCTCTGAGTACCAGAGTGTTTCCCCAGGTGACTGCCATGGAGTGTCACTCTCAGCTCATGGCCATGTCTCTGAAGCATCTGTTCCCTAGTTTAGCAGCCTGGTGTGTTGGGGCCATTCTGTCAAAGAAAACTTGTCTTTCATTGGTCTTCTGAAGCACTATGAAGACAAGATCAGCAGATTTTTATTCTCTTCTTACCCTGTATCCAGACTCTCTCCTCCCATCCTTTCCTTTCTCCTCCGCTTCCCTCCCCATTTCTTCTCCTTCTTTCCTCTTTCTGGACAGATAATCTTTCTTTAGCATGTCAAAGCATAACTTACTTATGATATATGCAGCTTCATGGTCAGATGTGACATACCTCAAAAGGAACTTTAGATCCAGAAGTACCCCCGTCACTCACTTTAGTAATAAGACAGTTTCTGACCCATCACCGAGCATCCCAGCTTAGGGACAGGAGTACAGCCTCTGGTGCTAATCCTGGGTGCAAATCCCGGCTCTGACACTTGACACTGTGGAGGATGTCACCTAACGTCTCAGGGCCTTTGCTGCCTCGAGCATACTGGTGAGCAACATTTTCCATTACCTCTGATCCCCACAACCACCCCACATAGTTAAGTTTATCGTCTTAACTATGTGGGGTGGTTTTAAAGGAGAGAATGAAGACTCAGAAAAATGAAGTAATTTGCCTATGTTGGGTGGCTCATAAAGTGAGCTCTTGGCATTTCCTTGCCTTGTCTTACTTCATATTCTGTGTCTTAGAAGGAAAATAAAGCAACAAGAAGAAACTGCCCAGGATTAATTCTAACCACTAAGAGTAACTAGTTGTTGCTATGGTTTTACAGAATTATCTGCTTATTCTTTGTCCAGCATTAGCATTTTAGCTCCCTGAGTACATGACCGCCACCTCCTTTGCTGTCTAGTAGAGCTCTTCACATGAATAAGCAAATGTATTTGGAAATGACAAGGACATTGAAAGAAAGTAACCACATCACACTACTGGGGTCAGGTCACATGATGGCCAAGAGCATAGCCCTTGGCAAAAGATTCCCTGCATTCAAAATTAAGTGTCCCTTAAGAGCTATTAAAACAAAGGCAAGTTACATAACTTTCCTGGTGTCTCCACTTCCCAAAGATAATAATAATGCCGACCTCATACTGTGGTCCTGAGTTAATCAAGGGAAGTCATTCACACCAGTGCTAGCTCACTGAGCACTGTACAGAGTCTAGCTGCTACTTGGTTATGAGAACCAAGTGCAGAATATTGCATCCTTGACTTATATTTTAAAAGAAAATTTTCAGGAAACTTGCAAGTAAGGTAAGAGTGCTCCAATAGCTAGAGACTTAGGCTACAGGGTAAGAAGACAATAAGAATCTTCTGTTCTTTTGCGGAGTCTCAAAAGCACTTTTCTACCCTCCCAGGAAAATTTTATTTCTGGCAAAAAAAAAAAAAAAGTCTAAATCTAGAGCAGATGATTAAGCATATGACCTGTGGAGATGCCAAAAAAAAAATACAGTGCTTACCATGCATTGGCATGAATCTATAAAGAATAGCATTTTTGAATGAGTGACTTAGTTAAAACCTTAGGAGATACACCATGGATGCAATGTCCTATTTTCGAGAAAGCATTTAGAATGTCTGATTTAGAGAACAGCAGCAGATAGGGTTGGGTGTGTGATCTTAGAGTTAGAGAGGCTTCTCCCATTGACCCCCCTGGAATTGAGTCTCAGTTTCCCCATCTGTCAAATGTGGATAATGATTGCATCAGCCTTCCAGCGTGGGTGGGTTAGAGAACTGCTGGAGATCATGTGGGTATAGGGCTTCCTAAGCAGGAGGTTGGTGTAAGCTCTGAACAATAGCAAGACCTAGGTAAGCAGGTGAGATAGTGAAACCTATATGATTGATAATCAAGGAGGTTCCCAGCTATTTGTCTCTCACAAATCTGGGTCTCAAATGCTCAGATGAAAGCTGAAAGTTTGTTTTGCAGTTGACAAATCCTCGCGGTCGGTCCCTTGATGCCATGAACTGAAGGTTAGGAGAAAAGGATCCTGAATAAGTCTGAGTCCATGTTGCTTCCTCTTCTCTCCCTCCAGGGGCATTCGTGGTGTGCTGGACCCCAGGTCTGGTGGTTTTGCTCCTGGACGGCCTGAGCTGCACGCAGTGTGGCGTGCAGCATGTGAAACGCTGGTTCCTGCTGCTGGCGCTGCTCAACTCCGTCATGAACCCCATCATCTACTCCTACAAAGATGAGGACATGTACAGCACCATGAAGAAGATGATCTGCTGCTTTTCTCAGGAGAACAACCCAGAGAGGCGTCCCTCCCGCATCCCCTCCACAGTCCTCAGCAGGAGCGACACAGGCAGCCAGTATACGGAAGATAGTATTAGCCAAAGCACAGTCTGCAACAAAAACAGCTCCTAAGCTGTGGACACCTCTCCTTCAATCCAGGCCTACCCTGGGGAAAGAGCTGTTAAGAATGGTTACCTGTCTCTAACAAAGCCCATGCACAGTGTTATTTGAGGTATGAATTAATCACTGGTAAATTTAAAAAAGTTTAAAAGCATGGGCAGG